CTCCAACACATGTAAGTTAGATAGTTCCATTACGATGAAGAACCAGAGTAAAGAGATCCACTCCAAATTTGTGATAATGAGATCAGTGAGGAGTGTAGTGGAGAATACGGTTAATTGTCAAACCCAGCGAAAGCATGTTGCGTATATTCTACAATGGAAAATGTGATGAAAGGAAAGTTACTTATCAAGAAAAAGGGCATGTATTCTGCATGCCATGCTGAAGACGGAATGTCCATATTAGAAATGTCAAAGTCAGTTGCATAGAAGTATTTTGGATATGCTAATATTGTGTGTCCTCTCCGAGCTGTTGATAAATGAAAAAAATGCTCCATTGATAAAAGCATTTAGTGTTTTTAAATTGGAGGGAATTCATAATATTTGACTACCATATTTGTCGGTGGTTGTTTTATTTTTCTGACTGGCATTGTGATTTGTGACATGGTACATGCAAATTGAGATTTCGACATTTCTTTCTGCCCCTGATATTTGAGTTTGAACTTGCGATTTTTTCTCTTCATTGTAGAAATAATCTGTGGTATAAATTTCTGAACTGGAATTTTAGTTCAAGCATCACAAAACCAACTACACATGTAGGGCTTGTTTGCAAACTGTGAAATTGCCAATATTGAACAGGTCATCCCACTGCATTTAGGAGGAGGAGGAGTCCTTGCATCATATTGACAGCTGAACAAAGAGCAGCAGTTTGAATATATCAACTTTGTTTCTCCATGTGATGTGAAGATGGAAGCTTTCCAGGCAGTTTTCCTCCCAGTGTATGTCATCTAGGTTTCCTTGTCATAAAGCAGAATACTAAGGACACTGGAATACTTTTAGCTTGGTGCACAAGGTCAACTGACTGTTGTTCTATATTCTTTTGCTCAATTAGTCCATCACTGTTGCTTCTGCAATGCGTTTGTCAATTTCCATATTGTTGATATTGGTGATGGTAGAACCCAGATATGTGAAGTAATCTGTGACTTCACCATGTCATTCTTTACAGGCATGGTTGAACTGACTAATCAGTTGTTGGAGGTTATGTTCTTTGTATGTTGTCAGAGCTGTGTTATCAGCATTTCTCTGATGTGGACTGTAAACTTTGGTCCTTTGCCCTCAGGTGGGCCAAGTTGAACAGTTTATCATTGCTTCTTGTGTCTAACTATACACCTTCTTCAGTAACATAGAAAAAGAAATTGCCAAACAAAATTGGTGCTGAATTGTAAAGGGCATTGATGTTTCAACATCATAGCTGACTACACCCTGCATATTCTTGTACGGTGATTAGCCAATTTTCATTAGTAACTGAAACAGGCCTTTCCTGTTAACAATGTTCAACACCTTTGAAAGATCAATGAAAGTGATGTTATAGTGGCCTCTATTGTTCATAGCATTTATCCTGGAGCTGACATAAAGATAACAACATGTCAACTGTGGATTCTTAGCCCTAAAGCTACAATGGGATTTTTGAGTAGATCTGATGAGCAAGGACTTGGAGTTGAGTTAAGACCACTTTGACAAAGAATATGCCAACAATGCTTAACAGGGAGATATCCTGGTAATTATTGTAGTCATTGTAATCACCCTTTTTTTATACAGGGTAATTAGGAGACTACGTAGTTTCAGTAAAGTTGGCTTATTGCATTTGATGAATTCTGGTGATAAGCCATCTTTATCTGATGCTTTTCCATAAGCTAGAGCATCAATGACTTTGCTGAGCTTTTTCTCTGTAAGTTCAGAATCCAACTCTCTCAGGACGAGCAGACCCTCAATATCATCAAGCATTTCTTTGGTGATGGACTTTTTCTCTGGAGTAAAATTCTAGGTAGTACTCTACCCATTGTCCCATTTGTTTGTCTTTATATGTAATTAACTTCTCTGTTTTTGATTTCAGAGATGTAGACTTCTTTGTTAGTTTGCCAGTTGCTTGTTTAGTTGTACATGTTTTAGGTGTTGTCAGTATCTGAAGCCTTTTGGATGCTATCTGGCAGTTGGAGTCAGTAGTCATTAATGCAGCAATATGCAGTTTGCTGGGCCTTGCTGTGAGCAGCTTTTAGAGCCTGCAGATTTTGCTGGCTAGGATCATGCTTGAATCTCGCTAATATGCTGCACTTAGCATTGATGACTGACTCTATGTAGAGTCTTTGTCCTTATGTACCTTCATTGAAACTGCAGCATTGTAAATGGTGTTCCAAGGGGTGTTCTATCTCTCTTCTTCGTTGTGTCACTGGGAAGTATTTCCACAGGCCTCTCTAATAATTTCTGGTTTCTATCTGGATAGACAGTCTTGCTAATGTTAATTATCAACTGGCATTTTTTCTTTGAATGGTGGAGTTTCATAGGTTTACATTTGAAGAAGATGTAGAGTTTCTATTTTAGAGATCTTCTGTTCAGATGTTGTGTTTCCTGTAGAACTGCATATCAATGTTCAGTCTGTTTAGCTCACAATCGAGATTGAAGTCTTGTGAGTGTCATCAGATAAACCTGTGTGCATGTTTCACACATTTCAGCTTGTGATAGGATGAGCTGGATTTTTCATTCTTTTTTCCTTTTGTTGTCTGTTTGGTGCATAGTTATTGATCTGATTGTTAAGCTAGCAGCTATAAGCTTTAGGTACCCACTAAAGCAGGCAGACCATGGGGGGTCACCTGCTACTGTTACAGGGCTGTGTGCAGTATTTGACCAATGGAATACAGGGATAACTTTGACCATTGAAGACAACCTATGGTGTCTGACTCTTAGCCAGTTGAACATGGACTTACAAAACCATAAAATACTGTCTTCCTTGTTGTGCTCTCACCAGGTGGTGAGACAAGCATGATGATATATAGAGACTGGTGATAGTATATGGAAGGCATGTGCTGCCCAGACCATATGCCCACACCCCATCTGTACTGACAAAATCCAAAAGAATATAGGGCATTACATTTAGGGCCTGTTTGGCTGCAAGAGTGGCCACAATTTGGAATAAACCCCAGATTTTTATATCTGAACCTCCCCACTGCTATTTTCTCACAGAAAGTAAGTTAATTTTTTGTCCTGACTATATTTTGTAGAAAATCAGTTTATACTGATTAAAGGTTCTATTGAATGATTCCAGTTAATGTATGCAATAAGTTTAGTATTGTATGTAAATTAGATAGACAAGTATAAATAGAGAACAACTGGTGAACATAGGGTTGCTATGCCAGGACACGGAGAACTGCACTATGACTACTACTATGCAGAGAGATATGCAAAACATAATAAGCTAGTGTATTTTAAACATATTTTCCTAGAAATAATTTGAGAAATCCAACATAATAGAATTTCTTTAGGATAAAAATTAATTCTTTTATAACCTTTTTCAAATTTTAGTTGTTGTACAGGAAACATCTTACAATGAAATATAATTATTGTACTTAAAGAAGAGAGAAATTGTGTGTGTTTAGAATCATGTATTTTCACTGAAATTATACAATTTTGTACCAGTTTGTTGTCTGGATGTGTAAACAGTATTATGTATGTAAAAAAAAGACTTCATTTGTAATTAAAAAAAAAATGATGCCAACATTAACCATTTGACATTTCATATCAAAAAGATTTTGAGCATTTTCTTTGCTTATATTTCAAATTAGTTTTTGTGGTCTTTTTGCTTAAAGCAACCAATTTTCATTAACTAACATAACTTTGGATACATGTAAAGTATTATGGTCTGTGTTGAAATGTGTGTGACATCATACAAACCTGCAAAGAATTGAACTGACAGGCAAATTTGAATCCCTCTTTTAATCATTTAATTATCCTGCTTAGGTTAAACCTTTCATGCTTCATTTGCATTTGTTTCTTTAATAAAGTAATTACCTGCTATCTTTATTACTCCAAAACTTGTTTGTTTCAAAAGTGAGTTATTTTAATAGTTTAATTTGTTTGTTCATGCCTCATTATTGCAAGTGGTTAGTGTGAAGCTGTAGACATATTTATGTGATGTAATACTCATTTTAGCACAGATTACTGTTCTTGAATTATACCTAGCAATGTCCAGTAAAAGAATTTGTTTGAAAAAATGCATTTTGATAATAAAATATGTTAAAAATAAACTAAATATATCTTGGAATATAATTCACATATTTCTTTTATTAGGACCTTTTAATTAGTTTTTTCTTAGTTAAATCTTCATATTTTATATACATTAATTCTTTCCTATTTTCTCATATCTTTAATTTAATTTAAAAGTAAATTTGTTTATACTCCCAAAGTGATTATTTACTGATATGGTTAGAACAACCATATATATACACAAGTATCCTATTTATACTTGATACTGTAAATGTTGAAAGTTTAAAAGCCTTAAAATTAAAATTGATCATCCACTTATGCAACAAGCAACTCCTGATTGAACAGGTAGTGTCATCTGTTCCATAAGAATTATGACAACTAAAATATGGTCATTGCACATCAGGTATCATTACATGGTTGAGGTTGGTGAACTGCATATATTAAACATCAATTTTGAATCAAACACATTTCAAATTGAGTTTATCACTTAAGAATGTGACGGAATCAGAAAAACTTAGAAGGAAAGACAATTGGAGAATGGGAGTTACAAATTGTACTTGTTCTGTGTTTAACCTTTAGTCTGAAGTTGTCTGGTTAAGGTTTTACATGATTACTTCTTTGATATTATGGCCATCAGTTTGTTCTGGCATTCTTAGTTTTTATATTGAAAACTGTGGAAGGATAAAAATCACTTTTTAGCATTGGCAGTAAAAGAAAAGAGCAATTCAGTTTTGTTTGAATGACTTCCTCCATTTTTCTTAGTCTTAACCTAAAAAGGGATCATTTATATATGCTTATAATTACATATAAACATAAACATGGAGCTTTCTTACATTTGAAATGCAATATATTATTTTATTTTCTTTAAGAAATTATGAGCTGTTTTAAAGCTAGAGTAATATGTTACTACTAATTACAATATTTTATATCATTTTTAAATGCCTAATATGCTCTATATTCTTTGTAGTATGAGCAGAGAAGAAGAGGACGACGAGATCTTCCAGGCTGAAAATTTAGTGAACTGTACACCAAATCCAGATTGCCCCATGATCCATCCTTGTGTTGATCCTCCACTTTGTAGCAACTGCCAAAAATCTGAACTTTCCTTCTTTGACCCCAACTGCCCCGGATGTCAGGAAATTTTGCTCCGTCCGACCACTGCCATTCCAGAAATCTTTGCCATTCTTCGGCAATGGACACCACAGACACAACAGAATATTGAAGTACTTATTAATCAAGTAAGTTTTATTGTTTAGACATTCTATTTTTTTTTTTTAAATGGTGTAGTGAGAGTGGTGAGAATGTAGATATAAATAATAAATTTTTAAAATTTCTTGAATTTGGAATAATTTCATCAAAACATAAATTGTCCAAGCAATAAATGACTATTCTATCTTGATAAAATTACAATATATCTGCTGTCTCCTTCCTGTCAAATTCATATATTATTAACTTCATTTCTATCCTTAGTTAAGAGGCAAATCAAACTTATATAGAAACATTTTGTGCTGTTAAATGCATGTTATTCTTTTCTGCAAAAGTCAGCTTTTGTTACACCCTATTTCATCCAAGTGATGTTAAAATATTCTGTAATGAATTCAAAATTTAGGGGTTCCACTTCAGTTACAATATTTTTATAAGAGGAATGTGATATGGTGTTTAAAGATTTTTAAAACCTTTTTTATAATGCCATGTCTCTTCAGGACATATATGATCGTGGCTCTCCACAGATGCCTTTTCTTTATTGACTGATAATTACAGTGATTTCTTAGGAAATAAATTGTGGCCTTTGGTTTTGAATTTAGAGTTGTTCTCCTAGACTTGCTGCCTTACCAAAGCTAAAAATCCCAGTTTAAACTGCTATTTATGTGTTGCTAGGGAGTGAATAGATGGATTCATGCTTTTCCTAAGGAAATTAGCAGGAAGTGAAAGCAACAGCCTCAGCTGGAATTTGAACTCAGCCTACTGATTTCAATTTCTGTGCTGACAGCCATTGTACCATCTGCATATTCATTTAAGCATTAAACATTTATATTGATAATCTGTTAAAGGACCTTATTGGGGTGTAATGGTCGACGAGTTTGTCTCACTAGATCCGTTACAACTCAGTAGCAAGTTCAATCCTCACTGGGTGCTTCATACTTTCAGCCTTGTGCCACATCTAAGCTATGTTTAGTAAATCACTATGTTGATAATCTGTTTGCTTGTTGTTGGATTGTAATTAATTTTTTTACTACATTAATCCTGAATTATTGAAGTTATTTTTTTTTTTTGTTTTTTATTTTTATTTTTTTACTAATGGTCATCCAATATAAGGCCCAAGAACCACTCAAGGTAGAGGGTTACTATGTGGACTTACATGAATGTAGGAAAGAACAAGCGTTAGGAATATAGAGTTGAAGCACACTTTAAAAAGAACAGGAAACAAGTGATAAACCTACAAAAAAAATAATGTTTAAAAAAAAATATGATAGTATTAGAAAAATGAACCTAGTAATTTCTGCTAATATTTTAGTTAATATAATTTACCGAGATTTTTTTTTTTTCATTGGTCCTGTTGCAAAATGTTCTCAAGACACAATCTATGTTTAACTCTGAGATGAGGAATTATTATTATATGCCTTTCCATTTGGGTATTCATTTTTGTTGTTATACACACAATGTTTTAATTGTTGAACTCTTCATACTTATTTCACTACTTGTGTTAAACTGATTGAGATGAGAAATTATTATTTTTGTTGATAAGAATTTGTTATATTTTATTATTTGAAAATTTTCTTTTCTTAAAGCATAATTGTAAATGAAAATCAAGTATTATTTCAGTAATATATGTACATTCTATCAGAAATATATATTTCTTTTTTCTGATTTATTACTAGCCATTTTACTCTCATCAAAGTACAGTACAATAGTTTATGAAATGAGCTAGTGAGAACAGAACACGGCTCCTTTGAAAAAAATGAGGAGATATATTTACTTTCTGAATAACGGTATATTTGCCTTTCTGAATAATTTAACTAGTTTAATAGTAATTGTCAATATTCTCTTCTTATTTTCAATTTTTCTTTTTCAAAATATCTTTACAGATTTTAGAAAAAGGTGCCAATATAAATGACCGTGATGGCTTGACAGACATGACACTGTTACACTATGCCAGCAAAGCCGGGGCTAGTGGTGTGGGTGATGCAGAAATGGCTAGCAGAGTAGTAACCATGCTTATTGATAAGGGTGCTGACCCTTTTATTCGGTGTAGGTGGACCAACATGACAGCTCTCCATTATGCTGCCTATTTTGATGTTGCTCCTGTCATCAAAATTCTTCTTAAAACAACGAAAGCAATAGGTGAGTCCATTACTGAGGGACAATTTTGTTGAATAAAAACTTTTATGCATATAAAAATTCTTGAGATAAAATGTCTAAGCTATGTTTGCAGTCTATAACTAAATTTTCAAATTTTAGTGAGAAATATCTATTAAAACTGATATTTTGAAAGTAGCATCTTTATAATAGAGTAATAATATAAAACAAACTTTGTAAAGATGTGAAAGTATAATATGTGAAAATTTGTTGAGATGAAATAAAAAAAAAACAAGAATGAAGATTCCTATGTATGCCAATGTGGATCTTTGCAGTTTGTCTTTGCTGTTTTAAATTCAGTGTTTTCTTGTACTGGGTTTGTCAACATTTGGCCTTGTATGCAATCTCAAATATCTTGTGATAAGTATTTATTAAATATTTGGTATAATATTACCAAAACAATGCTATTACTATTTACTTCATTGAAAGTAGAACTTGAAAGAAAAGGAAACGTTGCTTTATTGCTGATAATTATTTTTAAATTTTAGGTTGATGCAAATGTTCCTAGCACCATTTCTTGTGCAATGTTAAAAATTTTTTAGAATGTCTTTGAAGTTTATTTAACTCATTCTAGTCTGTGCATGAAATACTCTTTAAGAATTGTTTGCAGAAAAGTGATAATTTTGATGAAAATCCTGGCTGAATATAAAATGCACATATAATACTATTTACTCTTTGTTTAATCTGGGACAAATTATAGGACTTATGCAGTAAGTGCAATCATGTGTTGTGAATATTCTGTGAATTGTAAAAAAAAAAAAAAAAAAAAATGAAATTTTGGTTTGTTTAAACTGTGGAAGAGAAAACACTTTTTTTTTTTTTTTTTTTTTTTGAGCAAGAAAATTAAACTGAGTGATTTTGCTGTATGATACAGCAGCAAACAATCACCAATCAAGTGGGATGGGAAATTTTTCTACATGTAGCAGCAAATTTTCATGTCACTTTTAAGCTTAACATTTCTTGCAACATTTGCTTGTATGAACATTGGTTCCAGTGTGTTCAAGATATCAAAAGATTCCTCAAAATATTTATTGATTCAAAATTTAATTCATTTTTTTATGATGGATTGCACAATTAGAAATGTGACATAAGGTTATAGAAAACAAGACACACTAATGGCTGAGTGTATGACTTAAAATGAATAAAAGATTTTGTCAAGGATGCTGAAAACTTTTGAAAATATTTAATTTTTGATATATTTGGTATTTATTGATTTTGAAAAGGATAAATATAAAAAATGATACTGGCCAAAACCCCATTTTTTTTATTGAAAAATCATTTTTTCTTTTTACATTTTTTAGCTATTGATTTCAGAAAATTAATAGCAAATTATCCTTTTTAACATATTTGCTGTATATTATAAAAAATAACCATCACTATTTTATTTTTTAAGCTTTTTTTTTTATTTGATTTATTCTTAACCAGAATGTTGAATGTTTTTATGCCAGAGTTCAAGGAAAGCAACTGAATTTATATTTAATGTAGTAAGACCAATTTCAAATTTAACAGTAGAGAATATTTTTTAAGTTGTTTTATGTTTTTATTATATAACATATGCTATTTAGACAAATGTTTATGAATTAATATTTAAAATATGTTTGTCTTGTATATTAATCCTATATATATTAATTTAAGTTTAATAAGTGTAGATGTTTGCAAGGAAAGGCTTTACTTATTTGTATATATCAAAATGTGCATTAAAAATTCTCCCATGTTATTTTAGATATTGACAATACTTGTTCAGAGTTTGACCATGGTTCTAGTCTGCATATTGCCGCCAGTAATGTAGCTTATAATGCTGTAAAGGTTTTACTACAGAATGGTGCCAACCCATACATGAAAGATGATCTTGGTAGACAACCAATTGGTGAGTTGATATTTTCCTGATACTCTAAATTTATTACAATCTCAAAAATATCATATAGAAGATAAGTCAATTCACGAGGAAAATAAACCTGAATAAAATGCTATTATCAATTAAAATTATCATCATCTATATCATATTTTTTCAACATTCTTATTTGGACCCCCAAATGCAAAACTTTTTCTTGGTATTCCTGGAAAATAAGATATTTATGAATTTTCATGCCCTCTGGGAGATTGCATCTCCAATATCAATAATTGAAAAACAACATTAAAATCTTACATCAGCCACACATGAAGTGTGTATGAAGTGGCTTTAATATGCATTTAACCCACCACCTCTCACCCACAAAAAACCCTGCATAATATTGATGCATTCTTTTTGATGTGGTCTTGCACCCATTAACTGTTACACATGACATCGCAGTGGACTATTTTAAACTAATACCAGAATGTAGCCAACAGAATAGCCTACTACATAGACACCAACATGCTTTTTGAAAATGACAGACAGTAAAAAGTGCTTGAACACAACAACAGAACAAACATGAACTTTAGACATTTTATCCACAATTTCAATCCCAATATACAACATTTGAAACACAAAAAAATTAAAACAAATACATTGTTGGTTGAATTTAATCAAATTTATTTGGATAAATATATATTTCATTTGATAGTAACAGTCAATGGGTATGTATAGAATATATGAACAAACATGGTAAATGTTAGAACATAAATATACTGCCCTATTCCTTCTTTATTTTGCTGGAGTTTTTGCTGACTTTACATCACTGCTGATATTCACATACTCTAAACTTTTTCAAAATTTTTGGTAATATAAGAAAAGTTACTTATGCATTTATAACTAACTTATTTAATTTAAAGTATCATGTACTAATAGACATAATTCAAAATGATTACCAATCTTTTTTTTTAGTGTATGTTTTAGAAATAAATGAGGTAGATTATCTTGATTATATTTGTCCATGTTTTAGGAAATAAAAACTTTTGTGAGTCAAACCCACAGACCCTTTCATTAAATGGGCTGTTCTCTTATGTACAAACCAGTCATCGAACTGAACAATTATTATTGCAAATGTGGTAATTATCTGTGAAAATAGTTTTCTAGTTTTTCATATTACTTGCAAAAAGTTATTTCTTTTCTCACCTGTAAAGATATAAATTCAGAGTGACTGAGATTGATAGCATAAAACACTTTAGAATGAAGAATTTCACTTACCATTATTTCAGTTTTCCATTAAACACTTGAGTATTGGCATATCAAATGATGGTATTGTCTAGGCTCGTTAATAGTTGAATTTTTGTTTTGTAATTTTTTTTCTTAAAGGAGGAATATATATAAAACTGAGTTCACCCAAACAAAGCTCAAGAACCATTCAATGTAGAGGATTACTGAATGTGATCATTATATATGTAGGAAAGATAATGGCATATGAATGAAATAAGAAAATTTGCACATCAGTGTTAGATAAATCTTAAGTACAATGTTAAAATATCTTTATATTTAAAAAATATGCTAATGTATTAGTGAATTGACCAAGAGACCAAGTGAGAGTCCAAATGTAGTGATTCTCTGTTTCTCAATCAGCACCAACCTACACCCATTAACAAAACCAGTTATTTTAAAGTAAACAAGTTTACATTATAGCATAATGTCTTTTTTGTTATTGTTGAAGCAAGATTTGAAAATATGTTTCATAATGCACAATTGGGATAGTGACTCCTCATTGTTGATATTTTATATTTTTCTGAAAGTTGTAAAATATGCTTGTTGCAGATTGTGTTCCTGATCCTAAAAATTTTGATGAAGAATCAGAAATGGCAAAACTGGCAACCAAAATCCGAAAGATGATGCCTGAAGCTGGCCCTGTTAGTCCAAACCCTTGTTCACCCATTTTTGACCCAACACAAAGTCGAGTGACACTCCAAGCAATGGGGTTGCGATTGGGTGATAAAGTGGTTATTAATGGGTCAAAGGTAAATATATTATTGTGAGTGTACCAATGAAAAGAGAAAAAAATGGAATGTTTAAAAATACTACAATTTTTTAATTAGTTTTAGTCTTCATTAAAACCTTTATTGTGAAATCAAACATTTAAAAAAAATATATTTCTTTTTGTTTTTATTTTTAGAGTGGAGCTCTCCGTTATTGTGGACCTACAGAATTTGCTGCTGGGATTTGGGCAGGAATAGAACTAGACGAAAAAATTGGTAAAAATGATGGTAGTGTTGGTGGAATCTCTTACTTCCGTTGTGCTCAAAATCATGGTGAGGAACAGCATTGGCTTTTTTGAAATGGCACTTAACACTTTTTTTTTTTTTTTTTAGAAATTATTCATTTACTTTGGGCTTAAATACAGGAATGATCCTAATGAAACAGGAAGGTTTTCTTTTCAATTTAAAAAATATGTATTAACAAATTATTTAATAAAGTGTAATGTGGAGTTGAGGTGTTTATTGGAATAGTGACTTATAAAAAAATGTTATTCAGGCAATTGTATTAGTTTGTGTGCTTTGTAAGTTTTATTTTATAAAAAGGAAACTAAACAAGTGATGAATAAAGTGAGGAAGGACCAGAGCAGACTGCAAAGCTGGAACTATATTAGACAGGATTGAAGTGTACACTGAGTTGTATGCAAATATGTGCTCATTTGCATAAACACTCATGTCTGAAAATCAAAGATAACATTGAAGCAGTAAGTATTAGGAGTATCCACACAGTTATTTCTTTGAATTAAGGCATTGTAGAATTTTATAAGTTTTAAAGCAATTTTCTTTAATCAGACTAGAACAGATACAAACAAATTTTGTGTTGCAGTCTGAAAATTGCTAATACAGAATGATTATCTCTTTCCTATTAGAACTTTTTATTAAAGTCACTTGAAAATTAATTGCTTTTATTTATTTCTATGAATAACTTTTGCTAATGATTTTCTTTGTATTTTTTCTAAGTCATGAATAATTGGTTCCTTATTTTGACAAAATGTATAGAACAAAAATGGTGTTTGTTATGTTTGAAAAATAAAAATTCCAAAATTAAAAATGTGTCCTGATAAAGAAATGAAAATGAACATAAGAAACGCATTTCATTGTTAAGAAAATTTCTATTTTTTTACAAATCCTATTTGAGATTATTTTCCAATAAAAATGATAAAAGTAACTGAAAAACATGTAGACAATGAATATTGCATTAACAAACAAAGTGTAGTTAATTTTACTAATTTGATGTTTACTTTCTCTGTCTACTTAGAAATAGAAATACTTTTGTTATTCATTTCCCTTAGATAAAAAAGCGACAAGACAGGAACATCTCCACGGCCCTTAATGAAAAAAAAAAAGAAAAAAAAGGAAACGGGGAAACCAACACCTACACATACACAAAATTAAAAGTGAATGCACTTTCCATACACATAGACACCGATAAATACATGTACACACATCCACAGACATTGACCGTGACAATCAGATACCACAACCAATAAATATTTAAGACTGAAAGTATCATTAAACAAATGCTAGTCACTTATGAAAATATAACTTAAGCAAGCAAATATACAAAGAGAAAAATGGTTAAAAATAATATTATTTAATATATTAAAACAAAAATTCAATAAAAACATATATTTTAATCATATATGTTGATAATAGTTTTATGATATATTAGGTGAAGGAAAACAGGATAAAAAAGAAAACCTACAGAAATAAGTGTACTGTCTTCGTATATACATATATAAACATATATAAACGTTCTTTCAATTCACACAAACATACACATACATATACATACATACATACAGACATATATATATATATATATATATATATATAACATATATATACATATATGGAAATACATGAGAACAAATAAATAAATTTGATAAATAAGACAACATATATATATTTTTCCATATGATGGTAAATATTTATATATATATAAATATATGTTTAATATATTTTATATATATATAAATATAAATATGATATAAATGTATATGTGTATATATATATTATATATATATATACGTATATATTTATATATATATATTTAATATAATTTAAAAATATACATAAATATATATAAATATATATTACATATCTACAAATTTGTATACATATATATTTGATAAATAAATGTTATATACAATCATATATTCCCATATTTTTACACAAATGATATAAAAATACAAAATATATCAATTTTGGATTTAACATTATTTTTTAAGGTTTCATTTTTATATATTTTCAAAAAAACTACTAAATAAATAAACATAGTTATTCCATTTTTAAACAATTATATTCATGTTTTCTTTTATACTTCTGAAATGTTTGTATAAATTAGAAAAATACAGTTTGGCGTATCCATATAACTACAGGGCATAAAAATTCCAATTGGTAAATTAACTAAATATATATATCCATGATTGATATACCAGTGTTTTTAACAAAAATATGAACCATATATATATACACTAAGATGAATGTTATATATTCCCATAAATCCGTTGAAATAATTTAAATAAAGTTGAAATTAACGGGAACCTTTGAGAGAAAATGTAATAAGAAAAGATAAACCTTTTAAGTGAATGTGTATGTTTGACATATTTTATATGAATAAATAAAAAGAAAGTAACAACACTATACATGAACAATGTCTATCTAAAAAAAAGAACAAAAAAGGGATATAGGTAAATCCCTTCTCTCACACATGTTTTATATATATATAAGAATATATATATATTATATAGGATAAAACAACGCACAAAATTTTTATTTTTAAAAATATAGTTATCAAACTGGAAATTTAAATAATTGCACATATAATAACTTTAAAATTCAAGCGGAATTTTAACCATTTACAGTTCGCATTTTAGGTAAAAAAAAAATAAAAAATCCTTATTTTATCCTTTAAATAAATAATCATTAAAATCTTTTTTTTTTCTTATTCTGTCAATAATTAATGCATATTACAGTGTCAGTTCAAGCCCAATATATATCTCATTATAATTTTTAAGTACTTTTAATAATACCAAACACCATTATGTCTTAATTATCAAATCAGGTTTTTTCTCTACACCTATTAAATAAATTTTCAATGATTTAAAATAAAAAGGACACGGAATTTGTCAAAATCCATGTGTGTGTGGTGTAAGCGTTTTTATGTGTTGATTTTGCTGGTTTTATCGGAAAAAAATGGTTTTTTATTCTTTTAGCCATATAAATTCATTTTAAAATGATTTAAACGGTGTTTAAGCAATTTCATTATAAGTTCTCTTGATTTATATATATCCCATATTTTATTGTATTTTCCATTTTCTTTAATTCGTCCTGTATCAATTATTTTTAAAAATCTTAGATTCAATAATCATTCTTATTGTTTTTTCTTGGGCATTTTTGTTCTCTGTTAATTCTTCTTTGGATCTGAAAGGATACAACAAATTTCGTAGATGTATTCGGTGTGAAATCTGATGTTAAATATGGATTTTATTTTTCGTTTTTTTCCAAAAACAAAATGGTCAAATTTGCATTTTTCTTTTACATTAAAAAAAGACTTGACTTTTAGGATTTTTTTTCAAGGTTTTTAAACAAATTGGGTTATTTTTCTTGGTTTATTATTCGTTTTTAGGTATTTGATTTTTTTATGTTATTCTCTTTTTTTTATAGTATTGCAAATGTTTTCGTTTTTATTATATTTTAAAATAAATTTCAATTAAAAACCAAATTACTGGCCTTTTTAACAAAATTGTCTATAGGTCAATGAATTTTTCGTCTTTCAAGGGAATTCATAGTTGTTATATTTTAACTAATCACAGAGTACCATCCGTCTTCTTTTTTCATAAATTATATTTTTGTATATATATAATATAGCAATTTGTCAAAAAGATTATCAAAACATCTCCTTATGAATCTCATTAAATATTTTCTGCTCAAAGTTAACAGGAAATATCAAATATTAAAACTATTATTGTTTTAAATGGAAGTACTACTACTACCTGTTGACTTTAATGTTTGAATTATTTTTTATAGATACGCTGGATCCTATTTGTTGAAAATATATATAAATATGTATATTTATATATATATAATATATATGAATTTATTTGATCATTTTCTTTTAAAGAAAGAAATTAGATTCTATCTCTAAATTTTTTATAAAAAATTAGATTTTTCTGAGAATTAAAATATATCATTTTATATTCGATATATATATATATATATAAATATTATTCTGTAAATTTGGTGCACTGTTTTAATGAAGAAATTTGCAAAATAAATGAAAGATTACAAATATCATTAGCAAATAATATATATAAATATATATATATACCAGCATATATGCACAAATATATATACTGGCTAATTATGATGTTAATTTGCAATAACATTTGGGACCAATAATTGTTTAATCTGAATATCGTTGCCAATTAGATGTGATCCAAATATTACCAAAAATCATCAGTGAGTTTATGAAAAATTTGCAGCAGGGGAAACACTAATGAGTCTCAATGCTTTTGAATATAAATGTCATGGAGAAATTTGACCTTGAAAATTTTTTTTGAAAACCTCCAACATTGTTGGAAAAACCAGATATTCCAGAAAAAAATTTTAATGTGAAATTTAATGGGTTTTTTTACATAAACATAACAGCTGATATTAAAAATTCTTTATCTGGTTTTTAAGTCGAAGGTTTTTAGTTAAAATTCATATTTAGGATTATTTAACCATTCAGGTTTTAAAAAGTCTTTAATATTTTTTAGCATTTTAATAGGTTTACTATAATTTTTATTTTGTAACCTTGTTGATTGAAATATATAAATGTGTGTGTATGAGTGAATATCATACATATATATAGTTTATTTGGATATAGATTATGGCAGACAAACGTGTAATGATCATTTTAAAAATTTTAATTTCATTATCTGTTTCTGAATAACACTTGTGTTTTATGTCCATCGTATTTGTTTTATTGAACTGAATTGTATTTTGATGAATATTGTCTTGAAAATTTAAATGAAATTCAGAACATTACCCAAGACAAAAAAATAACTAAATGCGAATAAATATTTTTTTGTTATTTGCTGAGATTTCTTCATTCTTCAGCCAAATTATTTCATAAGAACTATAAGTCATTATAAAATGGATAATATACATTTATATTAAATATATATATCTCTTTAAAAAGCTATTAACATATATATATATATAAATATATATATATATAAATATATATATATATATATATATTTATAATTCAAAAATATTTTTTACGTAAATGATAATAAAGAATAACTATTTGCCCATACAGATGATGAACGAAAAATCTATTTTTTAACGTTAGATGTTACATTGTGTCGTTCCAAACATACTACATTAATCATATGTTTTTATATTAGGAATTTACAAAAAATAAAATATCAAAACCTTTATATGAGTCTGCAAATCAAAAAGAATTCTATGATAAAAAGTTTGTCATGTCATGAACAGAATTATTTAATTTTTCCATTAGATTTTTATCTTTTTAAAACAGAAATCCTTCTTGACATCTTTT